TGTGATGCAGAAAATGCAGGCGCTACTGTGCCCACTTCACCAGTGTTTCACTACTGAGCGACCAAGCCAGCCTACTCATTAGCTGCACACCAGGAATTTGATGCTGGTAACCATCTCCACAGGTGAATCATTAATGCACAGAGAGGTGGCTGTGCCAAATTCTCCTTTGGCTTTGCTGCTTTTCAGTTCTCCTTGGGTGAAATGGGGAAGGATTTAATTGAAGAATTTAACTGAATCAAATTCTAGGAAAAAGGACCCACTGATCTGTTGCTAAGTGAGATCTTTGCAAAGTGAGTTTTGCCCCATTTTACGACCTCTCTTGCCACAGTTGTTAAGGGAATCCCTGCAGTTGTTAAGGTAGTCACACGGTTGTTAAGTGAACCAGGCTTCCCCCATTGACTTTGTTTGTCAGAAGGTCACAAAAGGGGATCACGTTGACCCCGGGATTCTGCAGTCATCATAAATACGAGTCAGTTGCCAATTTTGATCATGTGACCATGGGGAGCTGCAACCATCGTAAGTATGAAAAGCAATCGCAAGTCAGTTTTTTCCAGTGCCGTTGTAACTTTGAACGGTCATTAAATGAACTGTTGTAAGTCAAGGACTGCCTGAAGGCCATCCTGGAAAAAGAGTGGCACTATTCTGCATATTTCCAAGAATTTTTTTTTTGCCCTAGCCAAAACTCCCTTAGCCCTATGGCATTTTCACAGTGAAAAATGTAACAAGGTGACAGAGATTTTGCATGGAAATAACGTTCTCTCCTACACCCACTAAATTCAGTTACGGCTGTCCCTACAAGCTAGAGACAGCAAAAGGAGATACATCTCCCATCCTCCCTAATTGCTGATTCAATCGGTTAGTATAAAATAGTTGCATATGAGCAGGGATGGAATCTGTCAGTTGACCTGGATGGCTACAAATATTGCAAATTAGCAAATGTGTAAACCCCCCCCCCCCCAAAAAAAGCAGGAGGAGGATTAGAAACCAATTTTTTTTATGGTGGGCCGCGTTGGTGATCGATTGTAGGTGTCTCCTGAGACAACATTATTAGAGACATTCTTGTCTGTGTTGTTATAGACAACATTATTGTGCTTGAACTACGATCCAGAAGGACCGGTGGCCCTGGGAGAAGCTGTGGAATGGACTTCTGAGAATAACATGGAAGCTGAGATTGATAATTCTTCAGTACTAAGGATCAAAAGAGTTTGCATTTGCTTCTTTTGTTTTGCTTTTTGCCCTTGGACCCCACTCCAGTATGACCATTCAAAGTTACATTCAATGACACTGAAAAAAATAACATAACCGTTTTTCACACTCAAAACCGTTGCAGAACCCCCATGATCATGTGATCAAAATTCAGACGCTTGGCAACCGACTCATACTTATGACGGTTGCAGCGTCCCGGGGTCACGTGATCCCCTTTTGCAACTTTCTGGAAACCAAAGTCAATGGGGAAGCCAGATTAACTTAACAAGTGTGTTGCTAACTGAACTGCAGGGATTCACTTAACAGCTGTGGCAAGACAGGTCGTAAAATGAAACAAAACTCACTTAACAAATGTCTCACTTTGCAACAGAAATGTTGGGCTCAATTGTGGTCGCAAGTCGAGAACTATCTACAGTTGTTGCTTTTCTTGGCTCTGTTAATCTCCCCTCCCGATCTCTATCGTATTTTCAGGCGTATTTTCAGCTGGCAAGTTGGCCTTTTTGGTGCTAGCCTGACAAGAACTTGGACCATAAGCTTCAATCTCAAGCATATATCAAGGCTCCTGCTGAGAGAAAGTAGAAGCACCACTTCAGGAAAATTGGAAACCATCTACCCTTAAGCCAATGGTTCTCAGTCTGTACTCTACAGACCCCCCCGGGGGGGGCATGATGTCCTCACCAGGGGTCCATGAATATTTAGTGCAGTCTAGTCATTTAAATCTTAAGTCTTGGTCCGCGGCCATGGTCCATGGCCACAAAAAGTATTTAAAGGGGGTCCATGGTGCAGAAAAGTTGAGAACCACTGCCTTAAGCTATAGGCTGGAGATGGTAAGAAGTCTGGATCATGCAATGGTGTCTTTCAGGAACAACTAGTCAATCATTATCAAGCTGAATTTAGAGGGGCATTATATAATGCATGGGTTGTTGGGTTGTTGTTTCAAAGACATTTCCTTACTGAAGGAGCACAGGCAGGCAAAATTAGTGGGAGCAGGAGACTTCCGATTTCCTGCCGGCTTTCCCATTGATTTTCCTTGTGGGAATTGGGCAAGGAGCATCAGAAATCTTCCTTCCTTCCTTCCTTCCTTCCTTCCTTCCTTCCTTCCTTCCTTCCTTCCTTCCTTCCTTCCTTCCTTCCTTCCTTTCTTCATTGTTCCCCCTGTCTCTCCCTCCTTTCCTTCCCTTTCTTTCCCAGCAGGCAGATAAGTGGCTGTTGCTGGGTGGGGGAGAGAATGAGGGATTGTGAGACTGGCTGGGAAACTGCCATGGAACATAGACATTGAACACATGACCTTAGCAGCAACAGCCTGAAGTAGTCACAACTTCCCCAAATTTCATTCCCTCAGAAATCGTATGTCCTAGATTCTGGATGCATTCTGTAAATCAGCCCATTTGAGGTATACTGATTCAAAAATTGTTGCCCTATGATGCTCTTTCACCCAATTAAAGGCGACGATAATTAGTGTTTTAATAGTATATAGATGTAGATAGACCCACAGAATAGTAGGCTAGATGGGCAATTCTTAACCTGAATATATATTTAGACTACATTCTTAAACTGATTTAGAACGAGTTGGAGAAAATACATGATATTTTTTTCTGTGTAACATTGGCAAATAGAATGAATTGTTACTGTTCTCCACCTTAACTAGCTAGTGTTAGGAATTTATCTTCCCCCACTCCTGTCTTCTCTTTATTTTACTGCATATTTCCTAATTTTGCCATGTGAAACCCCCCCCCCAGATATATTTCTTTACCACTTTACACTGGTCTCCATGGTAATTCAGTCTGAATATTATGGGCTGAAAGAAGAGGTTGTAAGGTCTGCAGAAGCCACTGGATGCAGGTGATACGGAGTGGAGCGCTCACTGCTCAAAGCCACACAGGACGCACCATTTCACAAATTAACAATAAGGTGATGGGTCCAAATGCCAGAGAGCAGGAGACACAACATGAGTGAACTCTGAGCTGTGCCAGTTCTGGAATAAATCTCCATACAGATCATCTGTGAAATCACCGTGGAGCTGAAGCTTGATGAAATTGTCTGCTCACAGGCTCCTCACGAATGATGCTGCTAAATCACAGCTTTATAATAGCCCCCCTTGGGGACTCATTTCCTATCTTTAAATATGAACAAATTTGCATAACGGTGATGTGCTCCATGGGTGTGTGGCAGGTACCCCTCACACACACACACACACACACACAAACACACACACACACACACACAGAGAGAGAGAGAGAGAGAGAGAGAGAGAGAGAGAGAGAGAATGAGAGAAGGGGCTATTCACACAGAGAATTGGGAATATTGGGGTTCTGATTTAAGGAAGATTGTAAGAAGTCTTCCACCCACTAAGTTTTGCTTTGCAAAACCCTGTTAGAGTGATGGGTATGAGATTTGTACTAGATCCCTACTTTTCTTTGAAGATTTCCGATCTTTCCATCGCTGCATCTAATGCTGATGGTTGCTGGTTGAGAACACATATAGTGGCAAGGTAACCTTACTGTCAGAATCCAATTATATTTCACTTCTAGTTATCTACTCTGGGAAAAACCCATTTCTGCTCTCTCTGGATTCTGTCATACTATGAAGGGGAAGGGGGATGAGCAGGGAGGTTTAATGGCTCTCACTTCCTTCATTAAAACTTCAAAAGGACTGGATGTGGATTCTCACCAAGAGGACTGACCATAACAATATGGCCATCGCCTTTCATCTACTCTCTCTGAAGTCTCCCTTTTGCCGGCAGTAAGGAAAAAAGGGGGGGGGGAACAAGGATTGTCGCCCAGAAGAACTGTGGGGTGGGAGGCTACTTGGGAACGCTTAAAACATTGAAGGATGGGAGAGAATTTCTCAGATCCTGTCTAGCACGCCTGCCATCATTTTCTCTTAATAAAGATTCCTGTTGGAAGAGATATTCCGAGAGTTCTGTCTTCTTAAGATGTAAAGTGAGGTGGGTCCTTACACTTATTTTTGAAGAACTGAAGCCCAGGCTCTCTCGTGGTTTCAGGACCCTGGAGAGTTCTCTGGAGCCGTCCATGGAGATGCTCAGTCATCCAAGTCATAGTTATCTCAAAGGTGCTTTTTCAAAAGGCAGCGGGATTGCTATTTTTCTTTTTTCTTCCTCAAGGCAAAAAACAAAAACAAAAAACAACAGTCTAGTTGCCTTTTGAAAAAGCACCTTTGACTTCTCTGGAGCTGTTCTCACAAGCCAAGTTGGCTTTGAACGAGTCCTGGGGTTCCAGCATTCTCAGTGCTCAGCTGAGTCTCTCAAAAGCTGGCAGGGTCAGCTGATCCTTTAGCTCCACCTAGGGACTGCTGCAAAGTATAACCTTGAAGAGGTGTCCACAGGTGTGTTTGTGCAAGTGTGTGTGTGTTCAAGCCTTGGATGTCTGCAGGTTTCTGAGAAATCCCAGAAGCGATGGAAGAGTTACCATTTAAATCGGAAGTACTAGCTGACACCCTAGGATTAAACCACAGCCACAAAAAATGGAGGTGAGAGGATGAACGTTGAGTTGGAGAGACCCTGAGCTCAGTAAACTTTGAGGTATCTTCAGGTCCTTGTTTTAATTTGAAGATGTAGTGGAAGATTTCTGTCGGAGTAAGACATAAAACAGACCTACTATCTCCTATTGACCATTATCTTCCTCAAGGACTCTATCAATGGCCATAGAGAGAAGGTCTCTTTTTGTCCAAGGTAAGAATCCATCCTTTATTTTCAGAGAAGGTGTTAAACCCTGGAGAGCAATGAATTTTGAACTTATCTGAACACTTCCCCTTTTTTCCGCAATGTCCCACACCCATCCTCAAAAAAATCTGGGTTTCCAGAATACAGAGCAGAGGTGACAAACCTGGATTCTGAGGATGCCCAGCTAATTTTTGGCCTAAAACAGTGCTTACCATGTCACATTTTCAAAATCCCCAAGAACCTTTAGAGGGCAGCGAAGAGGCTCTTCACAGTCCTGAACCAAGAGCCATATCTGGACCACGGAAGAATCCAGAAGGCACCCTTGCAAAGTCCTAGAATAAAGGAAGTAGAGAAGAGCGAAAACAAATGAGTCTTTTGTTCAACGTAAATATTCATTTCCACTCAATTAATTTTACAATTAACCAGGCCATTTTATATGTATAAACATTCACTTGCAGTAAAATTGACACTACTGGAACCACTTTTGGGGTCCTTCTGGGGATTGCGTCCGAGGTTTTGCAGGCCACTCTCTGCAATAGAATTTACAGTTGACCTCAAGGCTCAAAGCATTGCAAATGATAGCACTAGAGTACAATTCAGGAGAAATATTCATGCATCTGTGAGGCATCAACACAATCTGTGCACTCAGTACAAACTGGAGAATTGTCCAGTAAGTAAGGTTGGCATGCTGTTATACCAGATTGATTTCAGTGTGGCACATAGGTTTATGAGCAATTTATAAGCTGAGCTTGAATGAGCATTGTCTGCCTCCTTCTTGGCCAATGAAGTGGCAGTTCTTATTTATATAATATTGGTAGGCTCAGCTTTTTCTCAAGGTTTAATATCCAGTTCTTATGAAAATAAATGTTGAAGAAAGCAAGTAACAATGGAAGGAAGGAAAGGGAGGGAGGGAGAGAGGGAGAGAGGAAAGAAGGGAGGAAGGGAGGGAAGAAGGGAGGAAGAAAGGAAGGAAGGGAGGGAGGAAGGAAGGAAGGGAGAGAGAAACTGTAACAAAAATGTAATTTTACGTAATGGGACCCAAATTAACTTATTTTTCAGAAAGTCTGCACCTGTGTTGCATCAGTGTATAGCAGAGGCATGTAATTCAGAAATAAAATGTTAACAATAATTTACACATGCAAAACTATGAAGAGAAAATTAATGCAGCAGAGGTTATAAATGTATAGCTTGATCTTCCCTTTGTCTAATAGAATATCTTACTCTTTATGATTACTCACCTTGTTTGCATTTGAATGTAGATTTATTCAATTTTGGATTGTTGATGCAACACACAGTTAAAAATCAATTATTGTTCAGCACATTCCTTCCTCCATAATTTTGAAATACAATTCAGTGATGTAAAAATTAAAACATGAAATATATGAGGAAAATGTCTACGTAAATATATACGTATAAACTCCCATTTTACAATCCTATAATCCCTTAATTCGGGGTAGAGTCAGAGTGACTGGATGGAGCTGAGCATTTACTGACCGGATGCCCTTCCTGACAACTATGTGGAGTTTGCAGCAGATATTTTTTTCTTTGCTCGTAGGAAAGAAACCTCTGCCGCTACCTGGAATCGAACTCTCAACCTTTCGAGGGGGAGGCAAGCACTTCACCTCTGGGCCACCATACCACTCATGTAAATATACACACATACATACATGCATGCATACATACATACATACATGCATACATACATATATATATTCATGAAATTAATGTACACTATAATTAATATATAAAAGTATAATATAAAATATATAATTAATATATAATTAGTATAAAAGTATATGTGTAACATATTATTGTTAACATTTTATTTCTGAATTATATGCCTCCGCTGTACACTGATGCAATACTGGTGCAGATTTTCTGAAAAAGAAGTTAATTTGGATCCCATTAAGTAAAATTACATTTTTTGTGGAAGAGAAGCATAGAAAAAGGTACAGAGGTTTTACTTCAAACTTTTTTTTTAAAAAAAGGAATTAACTGTTTTCAATTGCAACGTCAGATTTTCATCCCTTTTTCCAAACAATTTGGTCTTCCTCCTATTTTTAGGAAGCTCAATTATTCAGTTTTGTTCAATTTAATTCCTAATGGAGCAAAGTGGGTGTATTTCTTGCTCATTATTAATGCAGATTGATAAAATAGTGCTAAAAAAAGCCCCTCTCCAACTTGCAAAACACTTTTGATGTTACCAAATGCCTGACTACAATCAGAAATGACTGAAAGCCTCTTTTTCCCATGAGAAGAGACACAGATCACAGGAAATGTTCCAATATTTGAGGGGCTGCCCCAAAGAAGAGGGGGGTCAAGCTGTCCTCCAAAGCCCCCAAAGGCAGGACAAGAAGCAACGGATGGAAACTAATCAAAGAGAGAAGCAACCTGGAACTAAGGAGGAATTTCCTGACAGTGAGAACAATTAATCAGTGGAACGGCTTGTCTCCAGAAATTGTGGGTGCTCCAGCACTGGAGATTTTTAAGAAGAGACTGGACAGCCACCTGTCTGAAACAGTAGAGTCTCCTGCTGGAGCAGGGTGGGTTGGACTAGAAGACCTCCAACGTCCTTTCCAAGTCTACTATTCTATTATTTGGATGCCCCAGCAGAAAACTCTTGGTTCAGTTCTACCTCAAGGGTGTTTTGACAGTGTGTAATTGGCATGCATGTATAGGTTGTCCTTGACTTATGACCACGGTTGAGAGCAGAATTTCCAGGACTAAGCAAGGTGGTCGTTAAATGAGTCACACCTGATTTTATGACCTTTTTGGCCACAGTGATTAAGTCAACCGCTAGGCTGTTCAACCAAGTCACAAGGTTGCTAAGCGAATCCAGCTTCCTCCTGGCTTGTCAGAAGCTGGTAGGAAGGTTGCGATCACATGACCCCAGGATGCTGCAAGAGTTGTAAATACACACCGGTTACCGAGCGCCTAATTTTGATTGTGTGACCTCAGGAATGCTGTGACGGTCATAAGGGTGAGGACCGGTCACTTTTTTCAGTGCCATTGTAACTTTGAACGGTCACTAAACAAATGATTGTAAGTCAAGGTCTACCGGTATATTCAAATCAAATCAACCATTGCAGCATCCCCACGGTCACGTGATCAAAATTCAGACGCTTGGCAACTGACTCATACTGGTGACGGTTGCAGTGTCCCGGGGTCACATGATCCCTTTGTGCGATCCTCTGACAAACAAAGCCCAGGCGGAAGACAGATTCAGTTAACAATATTGCTTACCAACTGCAGTGATTCACTTAACAACTGTGTCAAGAAAGGTTGCAAGATGGGGCAAAGCTCACGTAACAATTGTCTCGCTTAGCAAAAGACATTTTTGGGTTCAATTGTGGTCGTATGTTGAGGACTACCTATATGATCCTTGAACCGAAAGTAGTGTAATCGCTAGAACAAGGATGACAAGATAATAATAATAATAAAGTTGGAAGGGACCTTGGAGGTCATCTAGTCCAACCCCCTCTTCAGGCAAGAAACCCTACACCATTTCGGACAAATGGCTGTCCAGTCTCTTCTTAAAAACTTCCAGCGTTGGAGCATTCACCGCTTCTGGAGGCAGGTTGTTCCACTGGTTAATTGTTCTGACTTTCAGGACGTTTCTCCTTAGTTCTAGGTTGCTTCTCTCCTTGATCAGTTTCCATCCGTTGCTTCTTGTCCTGCCTTCAGGCGCTTTGGGAAATAGCTTGACTCCCTCTTCTTTGGGGCAGAATCTTCCTCTCCCTTTACAGGCTGTGTGGCCTCAACAATCATCTGCAGATGGTTTTTAATCAGAAGTAGATGGCTATGAATGATGTTTATGTAATCACAGTTTCAATTATATCGAGATGGGACGAAGGAAAGAGAACGTGGGCCTTCATCTTTGCTTTGCTATTTGCCTACGATTAGATTTTACATCAGTTTCCCAACTACAGGTTGCCGAGGAATGAAGAAAAATGAATCAATTTCTGATTCAGCATTTATTAGCATTTAGATAATGCGGCCCATTCATCATAAGCACATAGGGTGCGTTACAAAAGTCCCTTTGTCTGGTTGTTCTCAGTTCTGGAACGTTGGTTTTCCTCTCTCTCTCTCTCTCTCTCTCTCTTTCCCTGATCTCAGGGGAAATAATTTTTAAACAAAAAACAGAAACCATTTACACAGAAGGAGCTGGTACAGAAAAGAGCTATTTTATTTCCTGATGGAAACAGAGATGAGAGGTAGGAAGGACCCATAAAAGAGAAACGTGGGGTGGTTAAGCAATGTTAACATGCAGAAATGTGTTCCAAATACATTAAATAGATGTATCAGTGGGAGACAGGAAAGTAGATGGAGGAATCTATGAAGCTCGGGGATAGAGTTTATGTTGCTTTAAAGCTGGGCTTTTCAACCAGTGGTACGGGTACCACCTGTGGTACGTTGGCACCTGGCAGGTGGTACGCGACCATCCTAGAAAAGTGGTAGCAGGGGAGGGGAATGAGCTGAACCGGTGGCAGCACCGCACAGGCCTGAGCGAGAGATGGCTGGAGCTGCAGTTAGTAACTTCGAACAGTCACTAAATGAACTGCTGTAAGTCGAGGACTACCTGTGTTAAATTTGTTTGCTGCCCATCTCACCACAGGGCACAAAAACCCATTGTGTTATCAGCTGTGCTGGCCTCCTCGGTCTCTCCTTCTGCAGTTGAATCTAGGAAGTTGATTGTGCTCCATCCTTGTCCATCCTTGGTCCTGAAAACCTGGAATTGGGTCACAGGGACTTTTTATTCTTCTCATTCCAGGTCAGCCTTCGGAAGGAGAATGGCTACTTGTGAGGCTGAGGCATCATTTCCAGCTAATGAGATTAGCATTGAGCATTAATAGCTGCAAGGAGCTGAAGATGACAAGTACTGTAGGTTAAGTAACATGATTGGTTTCAGCTCTTTCCAGTCACTCGTATTTGCCTCAACGAAGAAGTAACATATTGTCAAGAAAAGGCAGTTGATTTTTCTCTGTCAGGTAATCACTGTCTGAGGGCCAGTTTGGTGTAGTGGTTAAGGCATCAGGCTAGTGACCTTGGGCCAGTCACTCTCTCTCAGCTCTGAAAAGCAAGCAATAGCAAACTACCTATGAAAAAGCTTGTCAAGGAAACTGAGAGAGAGAGAGAGAGAGAGAGAGAGAGAGAGAGAGAGAGAGAGAGAGAGAGAGAGAGAGAGAGAGTGTTCTGCATTTTTAAAGCACTTCCAATTATTTTTGAGAATTATGGATTCTCTGCCTAGCCATAACTAAGTCAGTCTTCTTGCAATCAGACAGTCCCCCTTTCTAGCAGCCATTTTGTGAAACCATCTATATCAGTGATGGCG